TATTGAATAACCCAGTAGAACCTCTATTCTTGGCTTACTGACTACAGGAGCAAGAAAATGGACTGTATCCTCTGCTTTGGGAAAGCCTTTAACAGACAGCCTTGGATGAAGCCACACCAGAGCTCAGCCCTGCCTGGAACAGCTGCCAAGCAAGGGTCCAAAGCCTGGAGTATCCAGCCTCTTGGCTGGTGCCACTATATCCTAACCCTACTCAAAACTGCTGAGACAGCTGCTTTGGGCAGAGGATTCCATGTTTCTTCATCTCCTTTGTTACCGCCCTTGTCCAATCCACCACCTTCTCTCTCCTGGATACCATATTAGCTTCTTAATTGGTCTCCCTGTTTCATTCTTAACTCCCCACAACTCATCATCTAGACAGCAGCCAGAATGACCTTTGCACATTGTTGTGCAGCAGTCATCACCAGCATCCATCTTTAGAACTTTCATCTGGGGCGCCTGAGTGGCTCAACGGTGTAGTGTCTGCCTTCGGTTCCGGGTGTGATCCTGGGGTCAGGGATCGAGTCCCACATCAGGCTTCTTGCTGGGAGCCTGCTTCTCCCTCTGCCTATGTTTCTGCCTCTATCTCATAAATAAATAAATAAAATCTTCAAAAAAAAAAAAAAAACTTCTTCATCTTCCCCAACTGAAACTCTAAACCCATTAAATACTAACTCCCCGGGGGGCAGCCCTGTGACTCAGCGGTTTAGAGCTGCCTTCAGCTCAGGGCATGATCCTGAAGACCCCGGATCAAGTCCCACATCCTCCCTGCATGGAGCCTGCTTCTCTCTCTGCCTCTTTCTCTCTCTCTGTCTCTTATGAATAAATAAAATCTTTAAAAAAAAATAAATACTAACTCCCCACTCCCAGCCCCTGGCAACCACCATTCTACTTTCTGTCTCTATGAATTGGACTACTCTAGGTGCCTCATATAAATAGAATCATGCACTATTTGTTCTTTTGTGGTTTATTTCACTCAGCATGACGTTCTCATGATTCATCCATACTGGAGCGTGTGTCAGAATTCCCTTACTTTTTAGGACTGAATAATGTTCCTTTGTATGTCTATACCACACTTTGTTTATTCATTCATCTGTGGATAGATACTTGGGTTGCTCCCACCATTTGGCTACTGTGAATAATGCTGCCGTGAACACAGATGTATAAATATCTGCTTGAGTGCCTGCTTTCACTTCTTTGGGGTACATACCCAGAAGTGGAATTGCTGGAGAATATGGTAATTCTATGTTTAATTTCTTTTTCTTTTTTATTGAGGCATAGTTGACATACAACGTTACATTTGTTTCAGGTATACAACACAACGATTGGGCAACTCTATTCATTATGCTATGGTCACCCCAAGTGTAGCTAGCTACCATCGGTCCCCATACAATGCTATTACAATACCATTGACTGTACTCCCTATGCTGTACCTTCCTCCCCATGACTTACACATTCCATTACTGGAAGCCTGTATCTCCCTCCCCTCACCGCTTTGCCCATTCCCCACTTCTCTCCCCTCTGGCAAACATCAGTTTTTTCTCTGTATTTAAAGATCTGATTCTCTATTTTTTATGTTTAATTTCTCGAGAAAGTGCCATATTTTCCACAGCAGCTGCATCATTTTACATTCCCACCACCAATACACAAGGGATCCAATTTCTCTACATCTTGCCAACACTTGTTATTTTCTATTTTTTTTATAATAGCCATCCTAATGGATGTGAAGGAGTATCTATTTTATTTTTACAATACATTTATCACTACTTAATATTTTGTTTATTTAGACATTAATTACCTACCTCTCCAAACTAGAATGCTAACCGCATGAGGGTAAGGAATGTGGCTGCCTTGCTTGCTGCCATAACCCAGATAGTACCCAGCACTCAAAACACATTTAGTGAATGAACAAGATAACCTCAGGGCCACCCACTTTAGAGCTACCACAGTTCTCTTTTTATGTTCCCTAGGATCTACAGGAGCTAGGGAGTTCCCTTCTGTTACTCTGACAAACCAGAGGATTATGAAAAAGAATTAAGAAGATTTTTACAAATGAATTAGTGCTATTGCCTGTGAAATACAAAGAAATAAAAATGTTGTCAAACTAAGAGAGCACCCATGGCCTTTGTGAAAAGCACAGGCAGTAATTATAACCAAGAGAACATGCTGGGCTTCTCTGAAGTTCTTAGTAGCTACTCACATGCAAAAATAAAAGACACAGCCCCTTGGAATAGGGTAAACTCAACTGGCTACAAGTGAAAACTATTAAGCTTTTAACTGGAAAAGCAAATTGTATAGTCCTTTCTTCTGTATCACCTACACTTTCTAAAAAGGAATTTTTTTGTTTTCCAAAAAGGCTAGCATTTGTTACTCAACTTCATGAACATCAGTTCAGGCAGCCTGAGAAAAGCACAAATAAATATATCACAGAGCCTGCTTGTTGTCTACCTATGTTTCCTTCTTTCTACACCTGATAGAAAACTTTTAATCGAAAGATGCCTGAAATGAAGCCTTCATTTCTCAGCTTTCTTGCAGCAAGAAGTGGCCATGTAACTAAGAACTAGCCAATGAAATGTAAGCAGTAAGTTGCATGTAATTATGTGCAATGTCCTTAAAGGGAAGATATATGCCCTTCTTTTCTTGCTTTGTGTTGGCTGGAATGTAAACATAATGGCTGGAACTTGAGCACACAACTGAGTATGGCAAAGCAGGAGGAGACAAAGATACTTGAAGCTGCCAACCAATCTTGGGTTGCCCACCTCTAGATTCCTATATGAGAGAGAGAACCAAACTTCTGTTAGAGCCATTGTTATTTAGGTCTCTGTCATGGGAAGCTGACCTAGTTCTGACTCACACAGAGTCTCTTCAGCAAGGTTATAGGAGAACCCAACCCGGAAATAATTCTTCCTAGATAATAGATGACAAAGTAGATTCTTCCATCAAAGTCTGAGTTGTTTTGACTTGATGCCAAGCCCAGCTTAGCCAATGAGGTAAGGGGGTAACAGTGATCTGTCATATTGATCATGGGTCAGAAGGAACGAGAAGTCAATACCAACAATGAGGACAATGAAAATGATAACAGTGATGGCTAACATTTATTAAGTACTTAGTACATCACTGACACTGAGCCAAGGGTTTTATGTCTACTAACTCACTTTATCTTCACAACAATCCCAAGGTTTAAAAAAGATGAATCCTGAATCATTGTGAATCACACAATTTATGAGTGTTAGAATGAGAATTTGAATCCAGGGAATCTAACGGCTGAGCCCATATGTGTTACCTATACATTGCATCATTCAAGTAGAACATCCACCATACTTCCCCAACTCCCACATAAGAATATGGTAGTCAGGCCTCTCCTGAATCACACCATTTCTATGCCAAGGAAAACTTTCACCCTCCTCCAATCAAAGTTTGATGCCACACCAACAATGCCTATAATACTCTCAATACATGGCCAACCATGAATTTCTACTTGTTAAGCACATGATGCTTCTCAGTCATCAATTTCCTTGGATCATTTATAACTTAAAGCCATTAATTTACAACTGAAACACAACTATACATATGAAAACCAAATTACATGTTTATTTCAAAGCCTTATTTCACATTTATGCTAAGAACAATATTTCAAAGCTATTTTTTATGACTCATTCTCTCCTGGTCCCATGTGTTGCAATAACACAATGAAATCTGTACCAGTTCATCAGAGAGTCAATATCTGATAGGAAAGTATCAGTGCATACAGGAGCCAAGTTTTATATTAAGGACGAGGACCTCTCCTGTTTGCCTGTCAATGGGAATGCCTCACTGCCAAAAGCTGGACTTAACAAATGTTTGATCAAGTGAACTGACATAATTGTTCTAGGTCTCAGCCTCAGTTTTATATATAAAGTTGGGGTATAATAGTCACTTTCTCGGAGTGATTTCAAGGAGTCAGTGAGACTATGCTTGCTAACTACTTGGTACAGTGTCTAGTACACAGTAAGTGCTCAGTGAGAGGTAGCTCCTTTAAAAAATTATAATCAGTGGCACAAACTGACTGAATAAAGCTCTCAGTGCACCAATGTGTTCAATTACCAAACAACTTTCCAACACTGAAAAAATGAAGACTCACTACCGTACTGACTGGAAAGACGATTCAATGTAGCTGATTCTAAATCCAGACTTCTTTTTAAAGATGGCTATCTGGAAATCTGATTTATCTTGACTCAGCATCATCTATGCCATTATTAACCAGCATGGGCATTTTATTAGGCTTTGTTTGATACTTTGGCTTTCCCTCCCTACCCCCCAATTATTATTATTCTCTATTGTTAGAGTGCCTTTAGTGGTGATTTTAAGTCAGGGACATTAAGTGGGATTTTTTTTTTCTTTTTATTTTGTCTTTTATCTACAGTGGGCATAAAGTAGTCTGGAATGGGCATTACCTTGATCTTCTATTTCCCACTGGGAGACATTTATGCAGAGCACAGGTAACAAACGGATTCTAAAAGTCATTACAACAGGCCTTTGAAAACAGCCTTGGGATGCCTGAGTGGCTCAGTGGTTGAGCATCTGCCTTTGGCTCGGGGCATAATCCCGGGGTCCTGGGATCAAGTCCCACATTGGGCTCCCTGCATGGAGCCTGCTTCTCCCTTTGCCTGTGTCTCTGCCTCTCTCTGTCTCTCATGAATAAATAGATAAAATTAAAAGAAAAAAAGAAAACAGCCTTAATTTTGAATCCATGAAACTCAACTGTCAGGATGGGTTTTCAGAAACACATCTGCTTTAAGAATGTATTCCTTCAACTGTTATCTTGCACCCTTTCTATTCACTAAAGCAGGACACTACTAGTTCTATTAATAAAAATGTCCCAAATAGTTGAGGTAAATCCAACATTTCACTGTTTCAGGCACTTGCCCCCCTACCCAAATCCTGGCACCAGAGGAAAAATGCAGCAGCCTTCCACTGTTTCCAATACCCATTTCCAGGAGAATACCCTTAAAAAATATGCTTACTGTGATTTTCCAAGTACATTTGCTATTTGGAGGGTACACTCCAGGAAAACCTTCGCTGCCAATAAATCCAGACTCTCCAGTAAGAATGCCGCCACATGTGAAAACAGGTCTGGGAAAATAAAAGAAGGAAACTTAATTTGAAAGTAGGTCTAAGAACCTAACGTCAATCTCAGAAAGACATAGCCTCTTAATATGGATAAAGTTAACACTGATTAATAAATGCTTGGACTGGGGGCTCCCTAGGTGGCTCAGTGGTTTGGCGCCTGCCTTCTCCCTGCATGGAGCCTGCTTCTCCCTCTGCCTGTGTCTCTGCCTCTCTCTCTCTCTCTAGGTCTATCATGAATGAATGAATGAATGAATGAATGAATGAATGAATAAATCTAAAAACAATTTCAGTCCATTGGCCATCTATGTCCGTCTTTATTAAGACGGACACATCTATTTCTCCATCCATCCACAAGCAACGAAACGCTCCACATAGTGGGAAGAGCTTATTGGAAAATGGTGAAGTGGAAAATATAACTGGGGGGGGGGGGACTGAGAGAAGGTGAGAGCTAGGCTATGTGAGGTATCGGGCTTTATTTTTTTTTTTTTAATTTTTTTATTTAGTTATGCTAGTCACAGAGAGAGAGAGAGAGGCAGAGACACAGGCAGAGGGAGAAGCAGGCTCCATGCACCGGGAGCCCGACGTGGGATTCGATCCTGGGTCTCCAGGATCGCGCCCTGGGCCAAAGGCAGGCGCCAAACCGCTGCGCCACCCAGGGATCCCAAGGTATCGGGTTTTAAAGACAAGCAATCAGGGCAACCCAGGTGGCTCAGCGGTTTGGCGCCGCCTTCGGCCCAGGGCGGGTTCCTGGAGACCCAGGATCGAGTCCCGCATCAGGGTCCCTGCATGGAGCCTGCTTCTCCCTCTCTCTCTCTCTCTCTCTCTCTGTCTCTCTCTCTCTCTGTCTCTCATGAATAAATAAGTTCAAAGAGGAAGCAACTGACTAACATAAAAAGTTCTAATCTCCCTGACCGTCGACAGGGCGTCCCGCGCCCCGGGGGGGGGGGGGAGGGAGGCTGCTGGGGACGGCGGCGAAGGGGCGACGGCGCAGGCGTCCGCGGGACGGGGCCCCCCTAGGTCCCGGGGGCCGGGCAGCTCCGACGGAGGCAGGCGGGGAGCGAACTTTCGGGGAGCGGCTCCCCGCGCGCCCCACCGCTCGGGGCCTCCCGTGGGCTCCACGTCTGCGGGCCAAGCCTCCCGGGGGCGGGGGCGCGGGGGGCGCAGCAGGGAGCGAGTCCGCAGCTCGGGCCCTCGGGCAGGCCGGGCGGGGGCAGCGGGGGCAGCGGGCGCCCCGACGCGGCGGGCGGAGGCGGGAGGGGGCCGCGGGGGTCGCGTTACCTCTCGGGGGGCTGCTGCGGCGAGCGCTGCGCTGCAGCCGCCAGCAGCAGGCCGAGCGCGGCCCAGGCGCCCGCGCCCCTCATGGCCGGTGTCGACGCGCGCTCGCCGGTCCGCACCCCGGGCTCTCGCTCCGGCACACGGGCAGGAACCCGCGCCCGCGCCCGCGCCCCGCGCCTCTCACACCCGGGCGCGCGCACGCGCACACGCGCACACACGCGCACACACGCGCACACACGCGCGCGCACGCGCACACACGCGCACACACGCGCGCACACGCGCACACACGCGCACACACACACGCGCGCGCGGCCCAGGTAGCCGAGCGTGCGCCGCAGGCCGGTGGGGGCGCTTTTAAGGGCGATTGCGGAGCGGGCGGCCCCGACGCTGACCTTCCTTCCCCAGGGGAGTCGCTCTGGCAGCCGCAGGCCGCTGCTCAATGTCCCGTTTGTTCTGCGGCGGCCGGAGCCGCCCCCTCTCCGGGGCGGGCGGGCGGCTCCTCCCCGGCACCCCGGGCCCTCGGCCCCCGCGCATCCCGCCCTCGGCCTGTGGGGAGGACGAGGGCGGAACCCCGGCCCGGCGAGTGGTCCCCAAGCGGGCCCTGGCTTCGGGATCCGCCGACGGCTCCCGGGGAGGGGGCCCGGGCTTGCTTGGGGGACTGGTTTTCTCTAATTGCTTGGGAAAAAAAAATTATTTATTTATTTATTTATTTATTTATTTATTTATTTATTTGTTTATTTAGGTTAGCGCTTGCTGGTTGCTGGAAAACTGGGGTTCCCTCTTTATTTCTGGCGCCTTCAAACACAGATCTGAGGCAAGAAAAGGACAGCAGAACGGGGATTCCATGTTTTGACTCCTCTTCTCCTTTTTTACTTTATTTTTTTTTATTTTTTCAAAGTTATTTATTTATTTATGCATTCATTCAAGAGAGAGAGAGAGGCACAGAGAGAGCAGAGACACAAGCAGGCTCCATGCAGGGAGCCCGACGCGGGACTCGATCCCGGGTCTCCAGGATCGTGCCCTGGGCCAAAGGCAGGCGCCAAACCGCTGAGCCACTCAGGGATCCCCCTTGAAGATTTTATTTATTTATTGAGACCGAGAGAGAGCACAAGCATAGGGAGGGGCGGAGGGAGAGGGAGAAGCAGACTCTCTGCTGAGCGGGGAGCCAGGCATGGGGCTCGATACCAGGACCCCGGGATCACGACCTGAGCCAAAGGCAGAGGCTCAACCAACCGAGCTACCCAGGCGCCCCATCCTTTTTCACTTTAAACACACCCTCCCCCTGCATTCTTCTCTCTCTTTTTTTTTTTTTTTTTACTGGTGCAGGAGAACAGGGAGACCGTTTCTGTGCAGGGATGCAAGATTGCATTTTCAGCCGAGCTGTTTGTGCGTGAATTGTCATGAACTACGGCAGATAATGAAGACAGACCCCAGACCATCAGATCTCACCGCGTCCTGTTCTGAAAACGGTGTGTTTCTTTGCTGGCATCTCTCTGCTCTCAAAAGATCTTTTCCAACTATTCCTTTCTGCGATGTTGGCCCGATAAGATTCACAGAGAATTTGTTTTTCTAAGAAGAACAATCCCAACCTTGTGAAGCCAAGGCTTTATTTAATTAGAGAAAAATAATTTTAAACCTCTTATTCCTCCCCAATAACCAGGGATTAATAAAAGAAAAACAAGAACAGAATGGATTCATTGAGATATTCAACAACCACCCCACCACTGAGAGGAGCATAACCGCATTAAAATGCCTTAACTGTGTTGTTCCCTCTAAATTATCTTCACTTTTCTAAGCAGTAAGCAAATAAATAAATAAAACCTTAAAATAGTACTTAAGATTTCATTTCTAATACTGAGCTTACAATGTTAAGAATGTAAACACCTCTAGCAAGAATATAGGTAAAAACTAGCTACAGGGAATAATCAGTCTTTTAGTTACAGGGAATAATTTGTCTTTTAATAATGGAAGAATCCAGGAACCAATAGTAGGAACCAGAATCTCCCTGTGGGGTTTAGGTTATCTTACTATTTTGGAAAAAATGAAGAAAAAAAAGACCAGGAACTACAACTTTTTAAAAATTCTCTAAAGGCACCACACCCTGTGTGACATTAAAAAAAAAAAAAAAAGAAAGAAAGGATTACAGAATTTGGCAAACTACATTATATCCTGAAACCTACACCCAACCCAATAAAAATTGCTTTAAAACAGCAAAGAGAAAAATAAATGGTTGTTTATTTTGCACACATTTCAAGAATATGCTTATCCAGCAGCATACATGTTTTAGATGATATTTTGTTAAAAAGTCAAAGTTTTAAATTATAAAGTGAAAATATTGCTCAATTCACTCTGATTTGAATGTCATCATAGCCAGAAAAGACTTCATTCCTAGGACTAAGCTAAGTTTTCAAAATGTAAAATCAAAAAAGTATTAAACATATCTCAGTATATAGAAAACTATTTGAACATAAATACACAGCAGTATTTTCTGTTCTTAATTTATAAAATGATGATTGTGTTCATATCCTCCCTAAAGAGTCAGGGTTCCAAAACTGATGGTTGTTGTTGAGACACATAAGAAGACATTGATGTTACCTTATGATTTTAAAAGTTTGCTAAAACCTATGTTATTTGCTCTTAGAAAAACATATTTGACTTGGAACTACAATTCTGACCAAAATTATAAACCTTGAATGTTCTGAGAAGCTTAATGTGTTAAAATTGAGACAGACCCAAGTGGACTTTGAAGGTGTGTGTAAGGTCCATTTCTGTAAGACTGATTTCTAGACTTTAGTGATACAGAATTGGCATAATAGGCAGGGAGCCAAAGAACTCCAGGCCATACCAAAGAGGTAGAGAGGACAAGAGCCCCATGATAGATTCTAGAAAGAAAAGCAGAGTGGTAGGTGAAGTGATCTTTATTATCCAAAGTATGTATTACCCAATCTCTGCAGTTAATTAGGTTGTACAGAGAATCAAAGTCATGGAAATATGGAAATATTCACCAATGAACCGACCACTTATAAAATTAGTCCCCGCTCAAACATTCCTTGCTGCACAATAGTAGCATCTAGCTAGGTCCAATATGTCAACATCTTTGTTGGTTAGTCTCTGGTCAATTCATCAACTTTGTAAACATCCGAAAATGCAATATAAATATAATGCACTTTCGATCCATAATGCAGTATTTATCATATAAAAGATCAAGAATTGGGACACCTGAGTGGCTCAGTGGTTGAGTGTCTGCCTCTGACTCACGGCGTGATCCCGGAGTCCCGGGATTGAGTCCCACATCGGGCTCCATGCATGGAGCCTGCTTCTCCTTCCAGTGTCTATGGCTCTCTGTCTCTCTCTGTGTCTCTCATGAATAAATAAATAAAATCTTTTAAAAAAAATCCAGAATTTATAACATGGTTGCAAGTGATGTTGAAAGAAGTGGGTAGATCATGGGCTTTTCGATGAATGAAGACCTGGATGGTTACTCCAATGAACAACTGAAGGAAGAAGCAAAGGAGTTCGTTGAACAGGGGGCGCCTGGGTGGCTCAGTTAGTTGAGTATCTACCTTTGGCTCAGGTCATGATCCCAGGGTCCTGGGAATCAAGCCTTGCATTGGCTCCCTGCTCAGTGGATAGTCTGCTTCTCCCTCTCCCTCTGTATGCTCTCTCTCTCTCAAATAAATAAATAAATCTTAAAAAAAAAAAAAAAGAAGTTTGCTGACCAAAAGTTCCCTTAAAAAAGAATGATTTTTAATGCCAAAATATTAAAGAGGAGTCCACGAGAAAAATGAAGAAACATTATAATAATTTTTCAAAAGTAATTTTCTGTATTATAGTGTTGTGAAAGTCAGGAGCGAAGGAAAGGGTGTTTGTATTTGCTAGAATGCATTCTTGCAGGAAAATTATGGTAAAAAATCTACATTTGATTCATTACTCGTTCATTATGAGAATTGGCACATAGTTGCAAATATAAATGAAATTTTGTTAAACACAGAATTATTTTTTGAATTTCTGGTTCCATTTTTGAAGATACAATCCTGAACATTTTTTTGACTATCCACTCTGAAAATGTGGAGCCTGTGTTAGGTACATTTTAAGTGGCCTTTTCTAGAACAATTAATCTCAGATATGGACAATCTCCAATTATCTTGAAAGGTATGTGAGCAACAATCCAGGGCAGTGCCTCAGATTAAAGGGGAGAGAGTGAGAGAAGAGATAATGAGGAGCTGGACTGTATGCTTGAATCACTCTCATTGTTACTTGAGGCAAGAGTCATATCTGGAATTTAGGTGTGGTCTGTGCTTTCTTGAAAGTGATAGTACTCCAGTGGCACCACATGGGGCTCTAGATTTATAAGTGCTACAAATGTATAAAAGGAATGAAAAGTATTTGGAAAGCAATTAGTGTCGAAACTCTTTTATACAGCCCTAGTGACAATACAATGTCCATGGTATTCCCAAAATATCTCTAATTCTGCAAAACCACCAAACTGGAATTTCCCCCACTTTCCTTAACTGGGAAAATATAGTAGTGTAGAGTTATGATATTAATACTTTAGTAATAGAAGTGCCTCTTCTGAATTCAGCCTTTTCGATACTGTCAACATTTAGGAACTTCCCATTATCTTTGAATTCTTGTGCATACTCATTAGTAAATATTCTCATGAACAAGTCTTTTTTTTTAAGATTTTATTTATTTATTTGAGAGAGAGAGAGAAAGCGTGCACATGTGGGAAGGAGAGGCAGAGGGAGAGGGAGAAGCAAGCCCCTGATGTGGGGCTTAATCCCAGGACCCTGAGATCATGACCTGAGCTAAAGGCTGAGGTCACACTCAACTGACTGAGCCACCCAGGTGCCCCAACAAGCATTTTTAGAATTAAATGTGAGTTCAATTACTTTTTTTTTTCAATGTTTGTAAGCATACGTTGGGAAGTATACTTCTCCTACTTCCTCCTAAGAATAAATCATCGTAGGGGAATTGTGTTGGTTAGGGTTTTTAGCTATGAACAACTAAGTCCATTCTGGCTAATACAGGCCATAAAAGAAGGGATCCATTTTTAAAATAGAAGGTAGTTCACATAATCATTAAGAGAACTGAAGAAACTATGTCAAGGCTAATGGCCAAAGCCTGGCTTCTGAAATGGCCCAGTGAGAAAGTAGCTGTCATTGCTGTTACCAAGACTAAGCAATAATGGACATACTCCAACTTACTGCAATTGTGATGACTAGGAGCACATCAGATCCATTTCTGCCCTGAGAAACTAAAACTTGCACACCTCTACCCCCAAAGG